GTAGGTACAGCCTCTGTGCAAGAAAGGCTTGCCTGCTGTGGTGCTGGTCAGACGTCCTGCAGAGAAGCAAACAGTATCAGAGTGTTTCTAGCACTCAGCTTAGTGGGTACCACTGAGCCACAGCAGGGAGGTGGATGGGCTGCCCAGCCAGTTCCTTGGGGCAGATACCGCCTTTGTATTACCTTGAGGCTCGAAGATTCAATTTTAGTCACCACCTGAGTGTATGGACCAATCTCCTGGTTATAATTAAGCTCTTAGAGTGGTATGTGAAGCTGAATGTTGGCAGTTTATTTCTTTACAAAGGGACTGATCCTTTCTATTAAATAGACCATTTGTGTTTGATGCCAGAACAGCTTATCAACTGGCTCAGTTAGTGGTTTACCCTAATTTTAAAAACAGTATTTACATTAACTCATTTAAGACCTTCTCTAAATCAGGCATGGAGGCACTTACCTGTAATCCCAGGGAGGCTGAAGCAGGAGGATTGAAGTTCAAAGCCAGCCTCAGAAATTTAGGGAGGGCCTAAGTAACTTATTGAAACCCTGTCTCTAAATAAAATATTTAAAAAGGGCTGGGGAACTGAGGTTGTAGCTCAGTGGTAGAGCACTTGCCTAGCAATTGTGAGTCACTGGGTTCAATCCTCAGCACTACATAAAAAATATAAAAAGTATTGTGTCCATCTACGACTAAAAAAATTAAAAATTTTTGAAGTGGGAGGGCACTGGGGATGTGGCTGTGGCTAAGCGACCTGGATTCAGTCCCTCGTTAAAAAACAAAAGGCCCTCTGTCCTCCCACCCTGTGAAGTGTGTATTTTTACTCTCATTTTATGGATAAGAAAACAGATATAGAAGGTTAACCTCCTCAACATCACCCAGCTTGTAAGTAGTAGATCTAGTTGTTGCCATAGTAGTGTGGTTCCTGGGGCCCATGTGTAACCACTACACTGAGACACAGAGCAGCTGGAGAGATCTGGAATCCAGCATGGAGAGGATACTTCACTCCATTGGAGAGGCCTGATGAATGGGGCCTGCCTTGTATTCTGATTACCCCTCTGGCTACTGCATTGCTGCTTTATCCCTGGGTCTGTGCCTTATAGACCCTGGTGTCCTAGATCAGCAATACCACCTGCTGCTTCTGTATCAAGCATCTTTTTTCTCAGACACATTAATACAGGGGAGTTTTATGTTTCCATGGGACCACATCCCCAGTTGGGATAGGAATCATTTTTGGTGGTCTGTGTGTTCTGATTGTGCCAGCAAGTCCCTGACAGTCTGGTTGCTGAGGATGCCATGGCTCTGGTGCTTCTGTGTGTCCAGATCAGTGACCAGAGTAAGTTCCTGTTCCCAGCCAGCCTGGAGCTGGTGATCATTCCACTGTGATAGAAGCTTATCTAGGAATGAACTTGACTTCAAGCTTTTGGTTTTCTGACCAGCCCCAAATTATAGAGGTTTTGGAAAATCTGAAGTAAAGAATGGGTGAGCCTGTGGCTCCTGGGAGTTTCTAGATCAAGCAGAGCTTCTAGCACTGTGGGAATTGTCTTCTACAGTCACAGGCTTGGGCCATGTGCTTTTCTCCCCTTCTGCCCCTTCCCTAGCAGATATTATTGGCAGTCTTTCTTTGTTTCAAACTTGTAATGGATTTGGAGCTGAGCAACATCAAAGCTTTATGCATTCATTCATCTAGTTGTTGGCTCTTCAGGGCATTTTCAGAAGAGTCTGGGTTTCTGGCTTTTCAGATTCCTTTCTGCCTCTCTATAGGCCGGGCTGAGCAGTTCCAAGCTCTCCTTGTCCAAGGCCCTCCCTCTCACCAAAGTGGTTCAAAATGATGCCTACACTGCTCCTGCTTTACCCTCCACTATTCGAACAAAAGCCTTGGCCAACATGTCCCGGACACTGGTGAACAAGGAAGAACCCCCCAAAGAGCTGCCACCTGCCGAGGTAAGGTGAAGGTGACCACCCTAGTCGAGAGTTGGCCTATGCTGGGTGGGCAGTGTGCTGTATGGATCCCAGTGGGTCCTTACAACACCCTTGTGAAGTAGGTGTTGCTGTCCCCATTTTACAAATGAGCAATCCAAGAACCAGGAACCCTTATCCTCAAAGCTCCTGGGCCAAAGGGGACACCAGACCAGCAGAGAGATCACTGTGTGTAGTGACACTGTGGAGGGTTTCCCAAAAGAAAGCTGCTGAAGCTGTGAGGAAGGAGCATTTTGTTCCTCTTAGGGATCTGGGGAGACTCCAAGAACATGGCATTTGAGCTGCCAGGTCTAGAATGTTGAGTAGCATTTCAAGCAAATGTTCAGGGACCTGAAGAGCATTGGCTCCTTTAGCATGGAGTGGAAGGGGGCAGGGGGGGGAAATGTGATCGACGTCAGGATCTGAGGAGCCCAGTATTGGTAGACTCTGCAGGGTTGTTTCCTCTGGGCCTTGTGGGGGCATGTCTGCCCTTCAGCTCCTGGTAATATTCTTGTCTGTGTGGCAGCCTGTTCTCAGCCCCTTGGAAGGCACCAAGATGACTGTGAATAATCTGCATCCTCGAGTCACAGAGGAGGACATCGTTGTAAGTATTATGGCATGTGAGAATTTTAAATCTCAAACCACTCTGATATGGGTCCCTAAGACAAGTCTCAGTCTGCTGATTGGCTGGAACTCTCAAGACTTTGCATATAATCAGGCCTAGAGTTAAAAATTAGCACAGCCCAAGGACACAAAGCAAAGTCACCAAGGAAAGACAGGGTGTAGTTTGGGGGAAATCGGCACTCCAGAGCCTTCCCAGTGGAGTCACACCGGATGTATTTTATTTCTCCACATTGTAATGACTGATGAAACCCTGGATCTCATAAAGACTCAGTGCCCAAAGGTTTCATTGGGGACTAGTCATTTAATCATTCTCTGCCTAGCATGTACCAGAGCTCCACACTCTACAGGGGGCAAGCAAGTGTTCAGCATGAACCATATTGTTTCACAGTTTAGGCACAGTGGGCTACCTGATCATTTAAGGTGGTAGAGTCCTCCTGGAATTCAGGTTCCCAGATGCCAACCAGTGGCCCACCTGGAACCAGACCTTTCAGTACAGCAGCCAGGCCAACTGTTCACTGTACTGCAAGCTTCTAAACCAGTGCCGCTGGCCTGGCCTGAATCTCAGAATCATGGGATATCTGTGCCATAATGGTTCCAAAATGGGATCCTTTAGCATTGCTATGCAACACCTAGTGGTGGGTATTTTCCCATGAGTCTTTGGAACTTCTTGTCTACTTTGGGGGTTTTATGTGATTATTCTGTCATATTAATATAGTGAGATGTATTAGTAGTGACTGGTGTTTGATTCCTCAGGATTGCCTTCTTGGTCCATTCTGCCTTCCCATGGCAGACATGGGCAAAACCTAAATCAGGTGCCAGGTTAGTGGGGCCTGTTTTAGTTTAGTCAGTCAAAAAAAACATTTTAGAAATCCAGACATCCTTTGAACTGTTAGAAATTTCAGTGAATGCAGATTGAGACTCCAGCTGCACCCTGTAGCTAAGTCTCAGGTTCTGTAACAGCTCACATTGGCCATCATGATTTTTAAGGGGCTGAACTGTGAAACACATGAATGGCTTTAGAACTAAGTGTGCTCCCCTTCCTTAGCAGGCACAGTGTAGCCAGAGGTGTGCACACGAGTAGAAATGTGGCCTATTCTGGGTCATACTGGACATGTTACAAAGAAGTAAAATGTTTTCTGAATTGGGCTGAGGTTGGGGCTCAGCAGTAGAGTGCTCACCTTGCATGTGTGAGGCCCTGGGTTCCATCCTCGGTACCACATTAAAAAAAATAATAAAACAAAGGTGGTGTGTCTAACTACAACTGAACAATAAATATTATTAATTTTTTTAAAATTTTCTTAATTATTAAAGTATCTGTGTAGAGTGGCATATGCCTGTAGTCCCAGCTACTCGGGAGACTGACAAAGGATCATAAGCTCAAGGCCAGCCTGAACAACTTAGCTAGTCTGCATCTCAAAGTAAAAGCAAAAAAGGAGAAATAGGCCTGGGGTTGTGGTTCAGTGGTAGAGTGCTTGCCTCACATGTGTGAGGCACTGGGTTTAATTCTTAGCACCACATATAAATAAATGAACAAATAAATGTCCATCAACAACTAATAAAAATATTTTTTTAAAAAAGGAGAGATAGCCACCATTTATTGAGCACTGGCACATTATAGGAGAGCTCTGTGAAAATATGCTAATGAAAAGTGAATTACTTGTAGGGGCTGGGGCTCAGTGGCAGAGCACTTGCCTAACAGCCTAGCACAACATAAAAATAAACAAATAAAATAAAGGCATTCTGTTCATCTACAACTTAAAAAAAATATATTTGTAAAGATTACGCCTCAGAAAATTGCCAATAATAATTACCCTCAACTTCTTTTCTACCCCAATAGGTAACATTAAAAGAACAATAATATCATTGGGAGGATACCTATTATTCTATTCCATAGTGTGTTTTGTTGTTGTTGTTGTTGTTGTTGTAGTAGCTGGACACAATACCTTTATTTTATTTACTTATATGTGGTGCTGAGGATCCAACCCACTGCTTCACATGTGCTAGGTGAGTGCTCCACCACTGAGCCGCAACCCCAGCCCCATAATGTGGTTTGATATTTAACATTTTCCCCTTTGTCATTAAAAACCAGATCATTTCAAGGATCTTTTCATAAGCCATCTTTTTCTCGAAACAACCTTGTAAATGGCAATTACATATGAAGAAATGCTTTGAATGCTAATTGGCCTCTGTCTACATCTCCCTGTGGTGATCTTAGTCTGGCCTTAGACTCCTTATCAGTAAAATGAGGAATTTATAGTTAATGATGAACACAGGTACAAAGCATGATCTTAAAAACTAACTCAGTTGAAGCTGGGCATAGTGGTACACACCTATAATCCCAGAAACTCAGGAGGTTGAAGCCGGAGAATCACAAGTTCAAAGCTAGCCCCAGCAACTTGGTAGGCTCTAAGCAACTTAGTAAGACCCTGTCTCAAAATAAATAAAAAGGTCTGGGGATGTGGCTCAGTGGTTAAGTGCTCCTAGATTCAATCCCTAGTACCAAAAAGAAAAAGAAAAAAATGAGTTTTCCAGCAACCCTGGGAGGTGGACAGTTCTTTTCTTGTTTTCAGAAGAGGTAGTAGTTTCAGGCAAGTTAAGAAACTTGCACGGGCTGGGGCCCAGGTTCGATCCTCAGCACCACATACCAACAGAGATGTTGTGTCCGCCGAGAACTAAAAAATAAATATTAAAAAAAAATTCTCTCTATAAAAAAAAAAGAAAAGAAAAGAAACTTGCAGGCAGTCACACAGCTGATAGAAGGAAGGCAGAGTCCCAGGAATCAAATCCTATTTGTGTGACTCAGAGTAATCAACTGCCCCAGTTTTGCTAGGGATTCTTCTCCTGGTTTTAACACTCATAGTCCCTTGTCCTGAGAAATGCCTCAATCCATTCAGCCTAGGAATTGTGGTCACGCTGGTAGAATATAGAAGTGGTGGTTTAACAGGTTCAAGGGTAATATATTAGAGACTGTCCCTTTGGTGAGCCTGCATGTCCAATTTTATGACAGCTCTCAGATTTTATGGCTGCTATCTCAATTGGGGAAGTGGGAACCTTAGTAGTGACTTGGAAAGACATCACAGGTACTGCAAGGCTTAAGAACCTAGACCCCCTTCTCACTGCCTTACAGCTTGTCCCTCATCTGTTCTTGACTTGGGGGCTTGTGATTGTCTCGAGAATACCACCTAAAATAGAGCCCTCCTGAAGTCTTGGGCATATTCAGCTGTAACACAGTCACCCCAGAGCCCTCAGTGCACGTGCATGGCAGGCAATCAGAAATTCTTCCCCAACCCCTTTTCTTCTTTGCAGGAGCTTTTCTGTGTGTGTGGAGCCCTCAAGCGGGCTCGGCTGGTGCATCCTGGGGTAGCAGAGGTGGTCTTTGTGAAGAAGGATGACGCCATCACTGCTTATAAGAAGTACAACAACCGGTGTCTGGACGGTAAGTTGGGGAGAAAATGGTCACCTTGCCTTCTAGTCCTCCCTCTCTTGTTGTCAGGCCTTCTGGGATTAGCCTTCCTCTGAGATGGGTAGAAGATATTTTGGGACAGTTGAAATGGAGCCTGCATGCGCCAGGACAGGCAGGGATGTGGATTCTTGGTGGGTTTGAGTTCAGACTGAAGCCCTGCAAGAAAGTGACACCATTTCTCTATAGATGCCTCTTGTAAGGGGCCTTACCAGAAAAGCCGAGAGCCACAGCCTTCCTTTCCCAATGTGGGACTACTTACTGCTAGGATACAGGTTCCTCAAAGGCTTGGAGCAGTGTCCATATGTTGTCACGTGGGTGAGGTCCTAATGAGTAACTGCTTGTTTTCCTCATCTCGGCATGGCCTGTAGAGAGGAGCTCTGACCTGGTCCTGTTCCACAAGATTGTTTTTTCTGTATGAATTGAGGACCTACTCTGGCCAGGGCCCTGTGCTAGAAGTAGGGAAGCAGAGACTACTAAAAACATAGCCAGTGAGATTTTTATGTGCATATTTCTCGTGGCTAATTATGTTAGCATCTTTTCATGTGCTTATTCTCCATTTATGCATCTTTGGAGAAATGTCTCTTCAGAATTTGTGTTCACTCTTTAATTGTGTTTTTGGGGGGTGAGGTGGGAGTGGGGAGGGACTGGGGATTGAACCTAGGGGCATTTTACCACTGAACTACATCCCCTGCCCTTTTTCTTTTGTATTTGGAGATAGGGTCTCATTAGTTTGCTTCAGCCAAATGAGTTATTGGAATTTTAGGCATGCACTACTGCACCTGGCCTAGTTGGGGTTTGTGTGGTGTTTGTTTTGTTTTGTTGGTACTTGAGATTAAACCCAGAGGTACTCAACCAGTGAGCCACAATGCTAGCCATTTTTGAGACAGGATTTTGCTAACTTGCCTAAGGCCTTGCTAAATTGCTGAGGCTAGCTTTTAACTTGTGATCCTCCTGCCTCAATCCTCCTGCCTAATTTGCTGGGATTACAGGGATGCAC